TGAAATGACATTTTAAAAGCCTCGCATTGGCCACTGTATTAATAATGGGGGGGGGGGCGAGTAGGAGCAAAAATAGAAGCAGGAAAGCCCTTAGGTTATTGCAATAATCCAGCTAAGAGATGATGGTGAGTTGGTGTCAATGCAAAAATGCCCATCATCTTGCCCAGGGTCACATAACTAGCAAGTGGTGGAACTAGGTTTGACAAACAGCCAGAGATCAGTCACTGCTGGATATGCTCTTAAAAATGTTCCTATGAATAAAATCAGGAAGCAAATATCAAAGTCCTCATTTTGAAAAAGTTATTAAAAGGCATTTTTTTTTTTGAGAAGTTGAGGTGGGAGGATCATTTGAGGCCAGTAGTTCAAGACCAGTGTGGGCAATATAGTGAGGCTCCATCTCTACAAAAATTTAAAAGGTAAAAATAGCCAGGGGTGGTGGTATACAACTGTAGCTACTTAAGAGGCTGAGGCAGCTGGATTGCTTGAGCCCAGGAGTTGGAGCTTACAGTGAGCTATGATTTCACCACTGCACTCCAGCCTGTACTACAGAATGTAATTCTGTCTCAAAAACAAAACAAAACAAAAAAATAGAAAACAAAAAAGAAAAAGGCCGGGTATGTTGGCTTATGCCTGTAATCCCAGCACTTGGGGAAGGCCAAGGCGGGTGGATCACAAGGTCAGGAGTTCGAGACCAGCCTGGCCAACATGGTGAAACCCTGTCTCTACAAAAAAATTAGCTGGGTGTGGTGGCACATGCCTGTATTCCCTGCTACTCGGGAGGCTGAGGCAGGAGAATTGCTTGAACCTGGGAAGCAGAGGTTGCAGTGAGGCGAGATTGTGCCACTGCACTCCAGCCTGGGCGACAGAGCAAGACTCTGTCTCAAAAACAAAAAAAAACAAAAAAAAAACAGGTAAGTTTATTTCACCTTGCCACTTGCTCATTAAACTGAGAAGTCTCTAGGCTTTTGTGGTAATGTGTTCCTCCCCTGTCTGGATGTATTTTCAAAAAGCCTACAAAATGTTCAGATAGGTTGGATACAGTATGTAAGAGAAAGAGGAGTCAAGGATGACTCCAAGATTTTCAATCTGGAGAATAAAAGGTGTTATTAATTGTAAGAGGGAAGGCAAGTTTTTCAGGGAAAATCATTAACTAAGTTATCCTGATCAAACAGGTCAGGTAAAGAAGGAGGCAACTATTATGCATACAAGTGGAGATGACAATTAAGCAATTAATATAGGAGTCTCGAGTCCAGGGGTATGGTCCATTCCTAGTGCCCCTGGTGAACTGATTGCTAAATATTTTGATTGTCACAGGCTGTTAAAATAAACATTTTGAATATTAGTTTTGCTAATATTATTACATTGCAATATTAACTACATTGCAGTTTCCAATCTCTCCCATTTAATACATGATGAACTAAAACCAATTAAAAAACCACTTTGATCATGTAATTCCTTTGCCCAAAGGTCTTTTGTAACTCCCTATGGCCTATAAGGTCAACATGTCTTAATCTGAAATTAAAATATTTTATGTTTTCGTCTAAATCAACTTTAGAAATGCCACATGGATCCTATTCTAGTTAAACTGGATTTGTCAGAATCCTTCATACCTAAGTTTGCCCAGTTGTGTTCTGTTTCTTACTTTGCTCCCTTTACAGCATTTAGAGCTCAGCTTTCACTCTCTATCAAAATCCTATCTACCCTTCAAGGCCCAGCAGAAACTCTGACTCTTTCCATAGCTATTAAATGTGAGAATGAACACTCTCTCCTCTGAATTCTTACAGGCCTTATTGTCTCATTTATTTATATTATCTCATTTATATATATTAATAAATATTATCTCTTATTTATTTCCCAGCTTTCATTTACTGTTTAGTTTTTCAAGTATATATATTGACACACACAGACACACACAGCCACACACATGTGTGTATGTATATGTACATTTCATCATAAGCAGGGAATTTTGCTTTTGTTTTCCTTTGGAACCCACATAATGTCAAGTACAGAGTGAGTGATGTATAAATTGTGGGTTTCCCTTTCCTTTTGTCATATTATTTGTTTCATAAATAATTTGATTGATGGCCCTATCTTTAGAGTCAAATTCTTATTACTATCTAAGCTCACATAGCAACCCTGGGAGAATACTATTACTATCCCATTGTATAAAATGGAAATTGAGCCTTAGAGACCTTAAGCATCTTACATGACCAAATTCACAAGAAGGGAGTGGTAGAGCCAAGCTGTGAATCCAGATCACATTCTAGAGCTAGATCTTCTAGTCATTACTGATCCTCTCTTTCCCATCTACATAGCACATACACTTAAAAATTCATGCAAATAGATTCAGGAAACAAACAAGGTTTTTCAGCTCCCATTCTAAAAGCATACAAAGGAAAAAGCCACGTTTCTTTTACCTGCCAAAGAATGCTTCTGGTAACTTGTAGAAATACGGTGCTCTCCTCTTGGACTAATTTTAAGATAATTATTGTCCACTAGAATGACGGTTACAGACCAGTGACTGGTAGTCCTTGTTCCTTTACCACATTTCCCTTTCTTAATTTTAATTTTAATTTTATTTCATCTGTATAATATTTTAGTGACTTCAGAAATGAAGACTCTTCACAATAGCCTTGGAAACATGGAATGACACCTCTGTCTCTCTGAAAATGATTTCAGCTAGCGAGACTTCTCATGAAACAAAGCTTGACTCAAAGCCAGACTCTTAAAATATGTGGCACAATGTGAAAGGGATGGAGGTGAAGTGAAGAGAGCATATGTAACAGAAAAGACCCAATTAATTCTTAGGGATGGCCTATTGAAAGTCTTGTTTTTCTGAAACCAAACTGTGGTTCTTTAGAAGAGTTATTACTTATTCATAAATAATCATATGGCTCTCTTGAGCTAATGGAAAACCTGTTTGTTGTTTATCTGCATAGTAGAAGAGGAAAAGGAATTGTAATGAAAGACGTAAAGGTATAGAATTTCCATTTAATAGAAGCCATCGCACCTAACAATGTATGTGCATCAGGCTACTTTACAGGGGAGACTCAAGAGGCACAATGCCAAGGATGGTATTTCCTGGCAAGAAAATGTTCTTCCGACCCACTTTTCTGGGTCAATGTTACCACATCCCTAGTTTATTACTACCAAATACAAATTAAAGCTGAAGGGAACTTTAAACTGTATAAAACTGTGGAATGTGTATGTGCGTGGTATGTTTCAGAAGAAAAATATTTTTACAATAGAGTTTTCTTTTTCTTTTCTGATGAGCAGATTTTAGCGTTGATAAAGTGTCAGTTCAGGAAATCGCGGCCTCTATACCCTAAAGTCAGATCTTATGTGAGTTGTAACTTTTACTTTCAGAACCCTGAATGAACAATTTGACTCCTACCTGTATTTTTGGATTTTGCCTTAAAGCAGCGTCACTCCCTTTCACTCAAGCATAGACCAAAACATAACAAGAAACCAGAAGAAAGTACACACACACACACACACAAACTAGCAAAAAGTTCATCGATTTGGTATATCATTATATAGATATTCATCCATTTATTCATGTAGCAAAATGTGTTGAACGCCTGCTGTGTGCCAGACAGCTCAGTGCCTGGCTGCTGTGGACACAGAGATGAATACAGGAACATGGAAATATGTAATCATAATGCATGATGAAGGGCTCTTCTTAGCTGATTAGAGGAGGTCAAGAGAAGATCAGAAGGAAATAGAAGCACTGACTGTAGGTTTCTCCAGCCACAAGGTTGGATGGAGAGCCCAGAGAGGAGACATCTGAGGTGGCAAGAACAGCATGCACAGAGCTCAGGGGCGTAGAACCAGCTCACTCATTTCAGGAAAGGGAGGTCAGTCAGGATGGTTGGAGCACAGGGGAGAGTTGGAGAGTGGGGGAAGATATTCAGGAGAAATGGGAGGGCCAAATATGGGACACTCAATCACTCCCTTTTGAATTTTAGGAGTTTAAGGCTTTATCCTATATATATGTGAATATCTCGTAGGCAGGTCTAATGAAGTTAAATGATTGACTATAAATTCTTTTCTCCTTTTAGTTACACATTCTTTCCCTTTTTGTATTCCTTGCCTCTTTTTTTTGTTACAAGTCCAAAATGAGGTCTTCTGTTCCATCGCAGTTCATTTATGTAGCTCTAAGTATCTGCCATTTCCACGCTTTTATCTGTACCACCCAGTAGTGCTCCATTACCTCAAGGCCCCTAAAATGATAGCAGTCAACTAATTAAAACTAAAAAGATTCTCCATGAGAAGATTTCACTTCAAATGAGTCATGGAGAAAATCTAGACTTGATTTATAGAAAAGACAGTCTTAAACTTGAGAGGCAAGTTTAACCTTTCTGCCAATACAGAAGATTAGATTTGCAAACAATGCCCATTTTCTTTCCGATGAATTATTTTCCCTTTTATTTCTATAAGAATTAGTAGCACTTATAGAATTATGTATGACTCATTAAGTTCTACCAAGCTACACTCACATTTAGAAGGCATTGCCAGAAAATCTTGCCTTTAGGGAAACCGAGCTGTCAAAAAGTCAACAGTTACCTAATTGCTCTGGGAAATACAATGAATTTATAGCAGTTAGGCTACTGAGGAAATACTTGGATTGCCCAGGCTTTCTGTGGTGGAGAACTTCCTCTTCCAGTGGGAGAAACTGCCAGTAAAGGAAGAATGACGATTTACATACCATAGCAAGGCTAATCTGCCCCAGGTCTTAGTCACAGCCTGCCTATTTGACATCCTGGGAAATCCCTATTTGGAAGAGAAGAAAAGTTAAAATCACAGTTGCAGTGCTTATAACTTTATTCTGTGTAATTCCTATCCACAGTCACTTCTGTTCATTTTTCATGAAAACCTATTGCTGCTATTTTCTATTGAGTTAATGGTGATGTGTGTTTTTTAAATTTTGTATATTTGCTCTCACCCTAAAATATATCATAAGAGACATTTTTCCCCTCTTTTTCTTTCTGCTTTCCAAGACTCCAGGAAAAACAGCTTCCATGGCACATTTTGTACAGGGCACATCTAGAATGACTGCTGCAGAACGTTCTACAGAGCATAACGAGGTAAGAACATATTTCTAGGAGATGAGTTGATCACATCTAGCATTGATGGCATTTCTAGTGGTTAATTTTGCACTTAATAAGAATAGAAATGGCTAGTTTGCTTTCTTTAGCTAAGATTTGCTCTGTAGTTTTAACGAATATTATGTAACATAGAAAAAAAATCTAAGTAACCAGTACATTGCTTTTAACCCACTGGGCTTAAATTCCTTTCAGCCTTCCAATTCTGTGGGTTCCTTATTTTGTTCTTCATTTAGAGGTATTTGGTTCTATATAAAATCTAAAAAGAATACTATATTGGTGTGGGTAGAAATAAAACATATTTTAACAATAGAGTATCTGTAGTAACATTTTTATATATTTACAATTGGTACCATAGATTTTGTTCAGCAACAGAGACTACTGCTAATTGAATGAATGAATTCAAATATTTTCTAGTTTTCTTTTACAGATAACCAAGGTATAATGGGAAACTAAATGGAAACTTCTGTTCATTTAAGTTTTTAATTTAGTAGCATCAGACCTTGAATATACATTGGTAAGGATGTTATCATAGAGAAAGAAGTGCCCATATGCTTTGAACACAAATTCTACTTTACAAGGAATAATTACAGGAAATTATTTATAGGGAATAACTGTTCTGTAAGCAGCCCTTACTAGAAGCAATGACTGAAAATCTTTGTAGTTACTGCAAATCAGATGCCTTCATTAAGAACTGCAAAGCAAAGTAAATACAAAGGAAAAGGTCCCCCAAACCTTTGTATTTGATTAATTTTGCTTTATTTTATAGAAACCTGAGACATATGAACTATAGCAAAATGTTGATTAATCTCCAGAGAAAGCTCTGGTGATACATTTGTGACTTACATGCCATTCCTATTCACTATGTTTTCTATCTTTCCTCCCTCCTATCCTCCCCCACTTATAACTGAATATTACTTATGAATTTCAAAAACTGGTACTCCTGCAGTTACAAATAGAGTCTCTTGCAGATTTGGTATCTAGATTTTCAGTAATTTTTATTTATAAAAGAAAAATCAAGGGTGAAACATATTGTAATTTTCTTCCAGAGAAAATTATTTATGGGGAAACAAACAAAAAGCACACTGTCTCATTGTTCCACATCTGGGTTCCCAAAATCAGGGACATACAAATGCTTGCCAATCACAAGCATTTTTTGTGATTGGCACATTTTTGTGTGTCACAAAATCACAGACACATTTTTTGTCTACATCACAAACAGAGAGGATCCATTTTTGAGCACCTATAATTTATTCCCTAGAATGGGAATATATTGACCTTTAGTGTGAATCAAGATTACCTAGGAAATATATTAGAAATAGAGGTGCCCTGGCTGCTCTTCTAGAAATTCTGATCCACTGTTCAGGATGCTTGACGTTTAGCAAGCTTAACGGAAACTTTGATGTGCTCTTTTGGTGAGAACCACTGTTCTAAAATCCAGTCTTACTGTGGCCCTACTTTGCTGATGACCTCAAGATACACTAAGTAGGGTTGGCTCACAGCATTTTCCAGATCAAAGATGCTTAATAGTTAGTCTGTTCTAACCCAGAATGGGTCCAGTTTCTTGGAAGTCTTCCCAAAAAGAAGAAGGTCCAACTATGGGCCCCAACATACTTGTCACTTGGGTTTCAGTGTCACTCTTGGTGCTCAGCCAGACCAGTTTCTTGAGGTCAAAAGCAAATATAATCATTCAGAATTTATTTACCCATAGAAAGCTGTCTCTTTTTAAATGTGGTCTTAATTGTAACATAGGTCTAAATAGGAAGAAGCTAAGGAAACGAGAACATCTATGCTTACATAAAATACCATCAAACCCTAAAATGCCGAAACATAAATAAACAGAGAAAAGATAGAAAATACACTTTTATAAATAATTTCTGATGAAAAAAGTGCTTGAAATACCATGATGATTGCAAAAGAACAATTTCCTCTACACATTTTTGGCAAAGACCACAACATGTTCTGAAAATATTTCTTAATTGTTCATGAACAACTTTAAGCAATTTAGTGGCCCACGGTAACTAATAAGGCTGAAACTGATTACAGATGTAGGAACTACTCTCATCACCCAATTCATTGTATTACTTATATGACTCTGGGATGAGATAGTAATAAGATTATTGAATTATTACAGAGGAATCAGTCCTTTATTTAAGTAAATGTTGTTCTTAGTTGATTTAGGCAGATGACAGACAGTTTCCACAGCTTTTGTGTTATCTTTAAATGAATACTCTCACTCCTGAAAAAAAAAATAACTGAAAAGAAATGTGGTAAACTTTTCATTATGACAGTAATTTATTATTAATCTAAACTAGTCATCTAGTGACTTTATTCAAGGAGCTGGCTAAAATTACACAGTAATTACACAGTAATAGCTGTATTTGTTTGTCTTTATTCTTGATGATTCTGTTGTTCCTCTGACTTTTATTGGGTCTAGTTTTCAGAATATTACTCACATACATGTTCATGGGCACAGCTACCAAAATGACTTTTTTGAAATGTTTACTATAAAAATGCCTAAAATATATCCATGAAACTTACCTGATTTCTGAATTGTCATTTTTTTGGAAAAGGATTGAAATCCAAATTCATAAAATTTTAATCTCTGACTTACCCATTATAGTATATAGATATATTTATAATTTATTACAGAATTATTATGGTAACTAATTTATATAAAGGATTTTAAAACATAATATGAAGCTGATTCCTCCACCAGCCACTGTGAAGGACTTAGGGTGTGAGGATTATTACTGCTAGAATCAGGTATTTTTATAAATCGCAACAGGAGAGTTGGCCAAATGCATGGTGTTTGTGAGGAGCAGTACTTCTGTTTATTTTGTAAACAGTTTTGTTTCAATCTTTTTTTCTTTTTTCTTTTTTTTAGTGTGCTGAATCATCAACAAGAAAGAACTTGACAAATTCTCTTGAACAAAAGATAAGGTGTTTAGAAAAACAGAGAAAAGAGGTAACATAGAAAGATTCGCTAAAGCCACAGGTGCCATGGATTAATGCTGAGGATAAAATAATGTATTATCCTTGTGCCTTTTAGTTTTGTTATCAGGTCACAGTATTTATCTTTAAGATACTGGACTGCACTATTTTGAGAGCAAATGCTTTTTTCTTATTCACCTGTATGTCTCATACTTGTCTCAGTGTCTGTGCAGTGATGAATGAAAAATGACAAAGTAATAAGTCTGGTAACAAAATCCTAATTTTCTCAAAACTTAGATGTTTCCTCCACACAGACCAAGTGACTTTATCCTTTATGCCTTTATCCTTTATGGCTTATGACCTTTACCCTTTATGCCTTGCAACTTCACACACGTTGGAACCCAAGGTTTCTTGAGTTACTTGAAAAGTCTTTAAGTATGGTTGATTTAGGTGCTATGACTTCAGGGTTTGGGCATCCAAACACATGGGAGTTAGAAAGCATTGTCATAAATAAAGTTTGTTTCTAAAATGTTCCTGGGAATTAATGGGTATTATTTTGAGTTTTATTTTTCTGAGCTTAACGAATGTTAGAACCTCTTTACTCTTCTTGATAGAGGAAGTAGTGAAAAGTATAACAATTTTAGCACTCTGTATATTGTCAATTTTGTAATTCCTTCTTTTTTTTTTTTGAGACAGTGTTGCTCTGTCACCCAGGCTGGAGTGCAGTGGCACAATCTCAGCTCACTGCAGCCTCTGCCTCTGAGGTTCAAGTGATTCTTGTGCCTCAGCCTCCCCAGTAGCTGGGATTACAGGCATGCATGACCATGCCCAGCTAACATTTGTATTTTTAGTAGAGATGGGGTTTTGCCATTTTGGGCAGGCTGGTCTCGAACTCCTGTCCTCAAGCGATCTGCCCACCACAGCCTCCCAAAGTGCTGGGATTACAGGAGTTAGCCACCATGCCCAGTCTGTAATTCCTTTTCTAATTCATTCTGTGTATTAAATCTTTTTTTTTTTTTTTTTTTTTTTTTTTTTTTTTTTTTTTTTTTTTTTGAGACGGAGTCTCGCTCTGTCGCCCAGGCTGGAGTGCAGTGGCGGGATCTCAGCTCACTGCAAGCTCCGCCTCCCAGGTTCACGCCATTCTCCTGCCTCAGCCTCCCGAGTAGCTGGGACCACAGGCGCCTGCCACCTCGCCCGGCTAGTTTTTTTTTTTTTGTATTTTTAGTAGAGACGGGGTTTCACCATGTTAGCCAGGATGGTCTCGATCTCCTGACCTCGTGATCCGCCCGTCTCGGCCTCCCAAAGTGCTGGGATTACAGGCTTGAGCCACCGCGCCCGGCCCTGTGTATTAAATCTTTCATGTTCTCTTCTATGGTGCTTTCTACTCTTCTTTGATACTGCGAAGAATATTGTGACCTTCTGGAAAATTACTAAACTATGGCAGAGTAATGTAACTATAGTATACACAATGGAATCCCTAAAATGCCAACAAAGTAACTCTCGATATAATAATATTATACAATTTCATACTAAATAATGACATGTATTTTCGGCATAAGAGTTACCTAGCAACTGCCACTATGGATTCAGTAATTTGCTTTTTAATTAGGAGAAAGTCTTGCTAGTTTTTAGTCATTACCACTATCTTCTCAGTGTCTGTTCCATATCCATAAGTGTTGGAATTTCTCTTAATGCAGAAAACTACAAACTTCCCCAACAAAAAGCTAACCACATATGATAGCATTTCTTCTGCCTTCTAATTAGCAGATAGTTTTAAGATCTTTAAATTATTTTCAGCCTAAAATGCATCTAAATACTGTCTTATGACAAAACTATAATTTCTTGAAAATCTAAATTTTCAAAATGGTGATATTATCTATTTGTTGAATATTTATTGTAAATCATGTGTTAATCTTTTAAAGCACATTATTGCAAGAAAATCATGATCAGTTAATGGAGCCTAGGCTTTGTTAGCATAAATTCTGCTTTAAAAGAGCTGGAAAAAGTATTTCATTATAATCAGTGTAAGCACATAGAAAAATATGAAAAAGTTTGGGAAAAGAACCTTCATGAATGAAGAAATCTTACAGACAATCATCAATACTTACAAATTTTTATCAGATTGTGGTTGGATTAAACAAAGAAAATGAAAATTCAAATAACTAAGAAAAGTTAAAGGTTACTGATAAACTGTTCAGCTGCCTTGTCAAGATACACCTACGACTTAATAGTTTTTCCCCTCCCCTCCCCTCCCCTCCCCTCCCCTCTCCTCTCTTTTCTTTTCGTGAGATGGAGTCTCGCTCTGTTGCCCAGGCTGGAGTGCAGTGGCACGATCTCGGCTCACAGCAACCTCCACCTCCTAGGTTCAAGCGATTCTCCTGCCTCAGCCTCCTGAGTTGCTGGGACTACAGGTGCATGCCACCATGTCCGGCTAATTTTTGTATTTTTAGTAGAGACGGGATTTCACCATGTTGGGCAGGCTGGTCACCAACTCTTTTTTTTTTTTTTTTTTTTTTTTTTGAGACAGAGTCTGGCTCTATCGCCCAGGCTGGAGTGCAGTGGCCGGATCTCAGCTCACTGCAAGCTCCGCCTCCCGGGTTTACGCCATTCTCCTGCCTCAGCCTCCGGAGTAGCTGGGACTACAGGCGCCCGCCACCTCGCCCGGCTAGTTTTTTGTATTTTTAGTAGAGACGGGGTTTCACCGTGTTCGCCAGGATGGTCTCGATCTCCTGACCTCGTGATCCGCCCGTCTCGGCCTCCCAAAGTGCTGGGATTACAGGCTTGAGCCACCGCGCCCGGCCTGGTCACCAACTCTTGACCTCAAGTGATCCCACCCACCTTGGCCTCCCAGAGCCGTGGGATTACAGGCGTGAGCCACCGCGCCCGGCCAATAGTTTTTCATATAAGAACCAGTTGTGAAAAGGTGAGAGTGTGTTCAATTTAATCATCCTAGCATAATCAGAACTTGATGAAAAAAAAATATTGTCTTCATCCATGGCTTCTAAAATCTTAATAAGCTCAGAAAGTAATTTCTTTTTTACAAAATTTCCAAATGGGCAGAAATTCTTTGTTGATGCCCCAAATTTTAATAATTTCAGCTCCTGGAAGTTAACCAGCAATGGGATCAGCAATTTAGAAGTATGAAAGAGTCATATGAAAGAAAGGTAAATACCTCTCTCTATTCGGTATTTTCTTTAAATCCATTATCCTGGTGTGGCCAATTGTGTGAAGAGTCTCATTGATTTCAGCTACAAAGAGCTTTGTGGATAGCCAACTGTTGGAAAATGATGGGGGAGGGTGCTGAGTGTAGTATTGGTCTCATGGCACTGAAGATTAATGAACGGTGTCAGTGAGTCATCTTGAACAACAGCTAAAGAAAAGTGCAAAAACGGCCCCCAGTGATGTCTCAAGAGTTCTTATGCACATTTATCATGGCTCACACAGTATCCTAGCCTTACCTTTGTCCCTAGAAGCCACAAATACAGAGTTATATGTGAGGTGAGGTATGGTTTAAAGTTCATACTGTTTATGCCAGGTTAGCCATAATTCTTTAATTAGATAGCATGAGCTGTTTTCCACAAATAGAGAAACAAATGGTGGTAACAGTGAAAGTGTGAGGAAAAATGGGGCAATCTCCTCTTCCATCTAAAGCACATTTGCTCTTAAAAAGCTCTGGTGAGAAAGGGGCTTTTGGAAGAAAACCTCCTTTAATACATAAAAGACCATTTATAATTTAAAATTGTTCTATCTTCAAAAAGAGATAAAGAGAGAAAGTACTTTCCCCTAAATAATTCAGTATTAAGAAACTTGACCATGAGTATTATAATATAGCAGCATTGTTCCTTTCCTCCTCATTTTGTTACCCAAAAGTATTGAATTTAAAAGATTCAGGATAATGTTCCCACTGCACCAGGCAATGGTCAGGCAGCCTTGCAATATCCCTGCTGGGGCAATACGGGTCTGTAAATGTTAAAGATGATGATCCCAGAGAGAATGCTGAAGCTGCTTTCTCGAAGGGCTTGCAGGTGTGTGAAGACAGTGTTAGTGATGGCTATAATCCTCATCTTGGAAGATGCACCCCTCTCTAAGATTCTCGCTCTAGACTGTGGTTACTCTGAGGACCTGTCACTCTGTCATCAGAGTCATTTGGCACCTAGTAGGAGTTCAAATGCTGCAAATTACTGATAAATTAAAGGCCATGTCTGTTTTTCTCTGGTGTAGGCATATTCTACCTAACCTGCTACCCCTCATTGCCTTTTCCAGACCAGGCTAGGCTCACCTGGAGAATTGAGAATAGGATAACAAACCTAGAGAATTCCCTGGGTGTGGTCTAAGTCTTTTATTCCCTCTGAAGTAGGGGTGGTTTGGAGAAAAGAAGGAAGAGCTGGAGGCTGTTTTAGTGCAAGGCCAAGCTCCCTTTGAAACGCGAGTATCCCTATCTGTGTTAGGGACGGTGGGAACTAGGACCTCTCCTTAGGGGACGTCCTGGGGTGGGGCGTTTCTGTCCAAAGTTCGTAGCCTGGGAATAAATCCAGGGGCTTGTGAGCTTCAGAGAAGGTATCTGCAGCTGTCTGTGAACGACCTCCTCAGGTAGCAGAGCTGAAGACGAAGCTGGACGCCGCAGAAAGATTCCTCAGCCTGCGAGAGAAGGAGCGGCATGAGAGGCAGAGAGAGGAAGACAGGCAGAGAGAGGAAGACCGGCAGCGCGACCTGACCCGGGACCGGCTGCAGCGGGAGGAGGTGGGCGGGGCCCCGGTTCTCGAGCCCAGAGGATCCAAGTAAAAGCAAAGGGGCGGGGGGATTTCCTGTAGAAAACCTACCGTTTTATTAAAATCAACTCACTACTGAGCAAGGACCGATGTGCAAGGGTGTATGGGTTACGCAAGTCCCCAAGAGCCATGAACAAGGGTGACTTCTCTAGAACAAGAAGGAAGGAGATTCTCTGCCGGGTTTCTCCTGGTTGCATAAATAGGCAGACAGTCATCCCCCAGGCCCTTCCAGGAAGAAGAAAACCGATCCATAGATTTGCTGACTCTCTAGGGCATTTCAGCCTAAGAGAAAATTATTTTTTTCTTTTGCTTTTATTCGTATTTATTATTTTTATTAGTAGTGTTCATAATAATAATATGGCAATACCTTGTATTTGTGCAGTAGCTTTTCAAGCTTACAGAGAGATTTACGTAAGAGGTTTTACTTCTGTAACCATAAATTTATGACATTTTTAAAAGGCTTCATCCTCATTATCTCATTTAACATTCTCGGCCCACCTGTGAGCAAAATATTATTTTTGCTATATTAAAGATGAAAAAGCTGAGATGTAAACAAATTGAATTGCCCACGTTGATAAAAAGGGACTGGAACCCAACCTCCAGATTCTAAAGCTCCATCAGTCCCTTGCTGAGAACTGGATGGTGTTGAGATGACAGCTTTTCCTAAAAAACACTCTTTTTCTTCCTGGTTTTATTTTCCATTATTGGACTTCATGAATATTGTAGCAAAAGGGAGAAAACCTTAAACTCTAATGGTCCCTTGTTATTTTAGGTATAGTAAGAAAAAACAAAGTGTAAAGACTCTGAGGGGAAGTCTTATCACTGATAATCGTGAGGCATTGGCAATATTTTAAAACGTAGAAATCTTTTTTTTTTTTTTTTGAGACGGAGTCTCGCTCTGTCGCCCAGGCTGGAGTGCAGTGGCGCGATCTTGGCTCACTGCAAGCTCCGCCTCCCGGGTTCACGCCATTCTCCCGCCTCAGCCTCCGAGTAGCTGGGACTACAGGCGCCCGCCACCACGCCCGGCTAGTTTTTTGTATTTTTAGTAGAGACGGGGTTTCACCATGTTAGCCAGGATGGTCTCGATCTCCTGACCTCGTGATCCACCCGCCTCGGCCTCCCAAAGTGCTGGGATTACAGGCTTGAGCCACCGCGCCCGGCCAAAACGTAGAAATCTTAAGGCAATGTCTAAAATTAGCACAGACAATGCCAGTCCAGGTTTTCCTACCTTGCTGAGGATGTCTTTGTCACAGTGAGTCAGGAAAGCAGAGTTTAGCAACACTCCCTTTCTGCCATGTAGCAGTCATTTCCTTTTCCAATTACATCCTAGCCAGGAATCTGAGTAATTTTTCCCTCAATGCAGTTGGGACCATTTTCTCATTGGGAATAATTTTCTCTTAAATTATGCTAACTTAGAAAATAATTGGCTTATTTTCTAAGTGTATATGTTCATTCTATTTAAATAAAAGCAAGTAGAAATATTTTCCCTTTTAAAGAAAATGAATTACCTAAAGCGGATTTCTTAAATTTTGTAATCATATTGGGAAATATTAGTTGCTCAAATAACACACTTTAACACATATATTAGCTATTTTTGCATGTTGAGTTACCTATTTTCTGCAATATTTATTTTACTGGGTTAAAATCTCAATCTCACTAAGAATCCAATTTACTTCACAAAATGTTTGCTATCTGTTATACAAAATTAAGAGGTGGGAGATATTGTCTGAATCCAGAGCCTGTTGATGTTTAAGCAGCTAACCTTCAGTTGTTTAAAACACTGCACTTCTGGATGATAATCTAAAACATGGAGAAGTGGTGGCAGTTGGACTAGTTGATTTCTCCCTTTTAAAAATAATAATCACAACAATAGAGTGCTCTAAATAAGATCTGTAATGAAGGGTCTTATTGGCCTAAAGATTATTCTCTTTTCCCTCTTTCTAATACAGAATGATGCAGGAATGAGCTCTGAGACATTTCGGATTGTTTTCTTACAATGACAGTAAGAAATAGCTGAAAGTCTTTTCTTTCCGCCATTTCAGCTATGTTTCTTAATCGCTTATCCATCACCTAGTAACAGTACATAGGGACTTGCTTATCCTGCAGACCCATTTATTTGACAATTGAAAGTAAGAATTGGGAATCCAGGACTTTGGGAAGCTGAGACGGGTGGATCACGAGGTCGGGAGTTTGAGACCAGCCTGGCCAACATAGTGAAACCCCGTCTCTACTAAAAAATATAAAATACTAGCCGGGCGTGGTGGCAGGCACATGTAATCCCAGCTACTAGGGAAGCTGAGGCAGGAGAATCACTTGAACCTGGGAGGCGGAGGTTGCAGTGAGCCGAGATCTCACCATTGCACTCCAGCCCAGGCGATAGTGTGAGAATTCATCTTAAAAAAACAAAAACAAAAACAAAACAAACAAACAAAAAAAAAACCCAGAATTGGGAAATTTGATTTTTTTTTTCCCTGGGGTCGCAAAATTTCTAAGATACTTCAGTAAATTCTGATAAAAGAAAGATTCCTTCAATCCTAATTCTAGCATTCATCCAAAGAATATCGCTCAAGTGGAATGTTAAGTTAAAGTCTTGCAGGTCCTGTTTTTATTGTATTTCAGAAGGGTGACCCCTCAATCTGCCTGCCACGGCCGATATATCAGAATTCCTACAATATCATCTCATTCGACTTGTACTGATTTTTCTTTTCTTTTCTTGGTCTTTACTTCAGAAGGAAAAGGAACGCCTAAATGAAGAATTACGTGAATTGAAGGAAGAGAATAAGCTTTTAAAGGAAAAAAATGCTCTTGTGAACGAGGAGAAGGAACATTACGAATGTGAAATAAAACGCCTTAATAAGGTATCAGGCAGGTCAAGCATGGGATATTAAAATGAGAAGTCCCTGCATAAAACATTCTTACCGAGAGTCACACAAAATCTAGGCTGCAGTGTGGGTCCCAGCCTTGAGGCACAAGAAATTAGCTGTGATTTTATAAATCACTCCTAGCTGCAGCTTTCAGCCATACTTGGCTAAGGAGGTTTTAGGGAATTTTTGTCCCTACAAAGATTCATCATGAAAAAGAGAAGTGAGGAGGAATTATAGAGACAGTAAGAACGTTTCTTAGTTTGAAGAACCACATAAAGCAAGTGGGTGTTTGCGAACAATAACGTATCTCTTGGTCAACCACAAAAGCTTCCTCAGGAAACAAACTGCTATTTAAAATGATCACTATGGAGTTGGGTGTGAAACACACTCTAAGGAAGCATGCTAAATGCTGAATCCAAGGCTGAGATGGTAGCTCTCTCAAGTGCAAGTCTAAAACCTACTTTAAAGTCAGGGAGAGGAAAGGTGTGCGCATGTGCATGCAGTGGTGTGTGTGTGTTGTTTTATGGACTAGTTGGTTCATATTTTGGAGGAATGGGTAGCTAAATAGTTCAGGAAAAATAATCCTATACTGTTGACTTTTCCAAGAGTCAACCCATATGTGGAACATAGGAATGCTATAGCACATGGTTGAGTTGAGATATGCATCTCTCAACTAGATATTTCCTGATAAAAGAACACAAAAACACAAATTGTCTTCTGAAACAAGAGTAGGTGATTGGACTTGAAACAGATGCTCAACCCCTGTATTTTGGACCACATGCCCATGGTTCTAGTTAACTAGTGTTCAGAGATGTCATTTAAAGATCCTCAAATTATTAAGTATGTGCCTGCATAGCTGGTAGGATGCTTTGCAAATGTGATCCTGCAGTAGATCTGTTTGTGGGACAAGTTATTCTTCAGGAGAAAATTGGAAAGTGAGGATAAACTTCATAATACACTTTATCCTCTGAGAGAGAAAAACCATGCTCAAACATACAAATGCAGGGCAAAATCTATCTTTTCCCTTTTGTTCTCTTCCAGAAAATGTTGCACAAATGCATTAGAGGAACTATAAACAATTGAGATTATATTTAAAATCCTCCCATTTTTGATACCATATTACAAGTTTTCTTACATTGTCTCATTTATAGATTGTCCCTAAATATAGATACAAAGATATAAACCTTGTAGATATTAAAACAGCCAAGAATGCTGTATTTGTGCTCATGTCCATGTGCACTCCTCATGTTTGTGTGTCCATATTTGTAGCTCACAGAAAATTGTTTAAAGTTAGAAAAATATAATTTTTCATCATTCCAGTGATAATACAATTTAATAATTCTCCATGAAATTTTACATTTTAAAATTTTATGATTTTATAATTATAAAATCTCAATTAGAAAAAATAATTTGAGTAGAATCAGATCTTTATACAAATGTCACCTCTCAAAGATGACTTTTATGGCTATCCTAATTAAAATTACATACTATACTACGGGTGTTTCCTGGTTTAAATTTTCCTTGGAAATTATTACTATCTAATATACATATATATTTTTTATATATATATATAGTCTAACTTTTATGACTTTATTTGTTTTCTAGCTACTAATCTTGGTTGTAAACTCCATGAGGGTAGGATTTTCGTGCCAACTCCTCTATTAGGCACCGGAGGCACAGTGTCTAGGCCTGTAGTACTTTTAGGGGCCCATAAGTATGTTTATGTTTAATTTCTCTTAAAATTAGAAGAAAAAATAAACTTTTGGGGTGAAAACACATTTTCATATATTATGTAACCATCTTTATAACAATGCATTTGTAAAATATCATTTTAACGTGTATTTTAGGGAGGGAGGGACTCAGGCAATGTCATAATGTGGTTCTGAAATTTTTCTGTTTTTTTTCACTGCTGTATCTTGAATACCTAGAACAGGACCTTGCTCAGAGTAAGATCTTAAATATTTATTGGATGAGTGAATGGATGAATTTAATTAGCTAGTATATAATATGTTTGGTAGACAATACTGGACCTAGAATTCATGCTTTAACAGGCATAATACATTACTTATGGGTAGTGAGGAAAAAATAAAAGCATGCTTAAAGCCAGAAAAGATTTCATCCCACATCTATACCTTAAGCTGTCCCTTGAAAGTATAGATATAAAGTGATGAGTTATGACAGTAGATTTTTGTCTTATTTAAGATGGGTATTGGTACCTAATGTAAGATATTATTGTTCTTCTATTTTACAATGAATATTTTTCTTTTCCTTCTTACCAATGTGATAAACAGAAGTTACTCAAAATGTTGTTTTTGGTAGCTGATTGTGCACACCATCCATCACAGCATGGAATCCAGAGCTTACCCTCTATGTACAAGCTGAATACCTGCTGACCCATATTCACTCAGCAAAACTGTGTAATATGTCAGCTTAGTAATTAACATACTGTTTTCAGAAGTTCACACAATTGTGTGTATTCAATTCAATTTATTTGCTTTGAAGAAAATACCTGGGAGTTTGTTTTTATCAGGCTCCTAAAGGGAAGCCAGATGTTTAACCAAAGTGAAAACAATTACCTAAGGCTACTCAGCTTGTGCCACCCATGGGCAAACTTGATTTGTCTAACATCTCGGTAGATCTGTTTAGAATATCTGTACTAATCGTAAATATTCTAGAATAGGTTATAGGTGTTTGTTCAAGGAAGTTGGGAAAACCCAAAATGGAATAAATATCTATTAGACTCATCTTTCATTTATGACTCATTTACAAAATTTCTAGGATCCCAAATAGCATGAAAAATAGATCAGAAAATGCAAATAACAAGATCTACAAAAGTAGTCTATTCCCAGGTGTAGGATAAGGAACTAGCATATTCAATTGCCATAATCCATTTGGCCCACCCCACCCTAGATTCTCTCTACTACTATTTACCCGTTGAAAAAAAAATGAACTATTCTGACACTTCCTAGAGCTTAGCACAAATCCTCACAAAACATAAATTATTAAGCTACTTTTATTGTTTCTGTAAATTCTCCCCAAAGGATGAAGAAAGCTCTTTATTTCTCTTACAACTTCCTGAAAAAAATGATATTCATATCAGGCTAGACAGTATCTATATATTCTAAGACATTCTACTAGGAAATTCCCAGTCTGTCCACATACTCAAAACCATACATTTGCTTGTCTTTTCCTACCTTTATGACCATATTATATAGTAATGCAGTGGAGTTAGTTACCACTAATATCACCAAATAGACACTGTTGAAGTTACTAAAGAAATACAGAAGCCAATTATTCTTAGATCTCTGAAAAGAAACCTTTTCTATTTGTACAGAGGACTCATTTGATAATGAGCAAGTAGTCATTTTGTGGTCTCTGAGGCCACACCAGGGTGAGAAGTGTTCTGCCACGATATTTGGAAGTCATTTTTGTTGAACTTATCATGAACCAAAGGTCTTCAAAATAGAGGCAATGTCTTTCATATGACGTTACCAAAAATAATGTAATGATGTGATCATGATAAGCTAATGACTAAGGACTAAGGACGATCATCTTTCTGGTGAATATAGGCATTTCTTTCCTCTCCTCATGCCACGCTAAAAGGATCAACTTATACTGGATGTCAAGAAAGCAGGGCCTCTCCACTCGGTAGTGAGTTAATGAATGTTTTAGCAGAAAACAAATAGGACTGTGGCTAGGCCAGGGCAGAAGAGTAGCACAACAGAGCTAACAGATTCTGAATCTGCATGGGCTCTCATTTCTGTGGATGTCCCTCTCTCCTGCTGAGGGCATGCCATAGTTATATAGCAGAATATTACTCAAAACATTACCTGGGACCAGCCGCACCAGCTTCTGAGAAAGGCAAATTCTGAAACTATACCCTCCAGCCTACTGATTCATAATCTCTGGGAGTCAGTACCAAGGGATGGGCATGTCTGCTACCTCTGATGTTCCCTAATGTCTGAGCATCATTGATAGGGTATACATTTGACTGAAGCAGAGAATCTGGAGAAAGTCTATAGATACAGATTTTGTTTTCATAGTTGGCTAGGTGGAGGAGGAGGGTCCAACATCAAAACCTAAATAATAATGAGGATCAATTAACATAAGCATCATCATATAGAAAAGACAAAGATTCTGGAAAAAAAATACATATATGAGAAAATCAGAAAGAAGAAAGTTACTCGGTTATGTCAGCAGCGTTGAACATGAAATGCTTATTTGTGGGTACATTTGAGATGATTGTAACAATTATAAAAGAATTCATTCCATGTGGTAAATCTTAGATCAACAGTGTACTTATCTTATTACATAGGTTCTTCAGGATGCCTTGAATTTCAAGTGTTCATTTTCTGAGGACTGTTTGAGGAAGTCTCGAGTGGAATTTTGCCATGAGGAGATGAGAACAGAAATGGAAGTTCTGAAGCAGCAGGTGAGAAGCTGGAAGAGGCATGATCCTGTGGAGAACATACTGCCCATTGTTCATGCTTCTTTGGGTATTTTTAGATGTCTTGCTGCTAGAAATATGTCAAAGGTTTTTGCATTTATTTTAAGTAGAATTATCTAATTTTCAAGCTTGATAGGAAGAATATAGATCAGCTAGTTCAGTCCCACCATTTAGAATATAGGGAACTGAGTTTCAAATGGATTAAATGGCTTACCCGATCACACAGTTAAAAGAGGGACATGCCAATTAACCCTGGGTGAGGTTCTATTAGCACTGGGGCTAGAGAGTTTCATGTAGACATAGTTTTTGTTTTTGATTTTGTTTTTGAGACGGAGTCTCCCATTGTCGCCCAGGCTGGAGTGCAGTGGCGTGATCTCGGCTCACCGCAACTTCTGCCTCCCCGTTTCAAGCGATTCTCCTGCCTCAGCCTCCCGAGTAGCTGAGACTACAGGCACACGCCACCATGCCTGGCTAATTTTTTCTATTTTTAGTAGAGATGGAGTTTCACCATGTTGTCCAGGCTGGTCTCAAACTCCTGACCTCGTGATCCACCTGCATCGGCCTCCCAAAGTGTTGGGATTACAGGCGTGAGCCACCGCACCCAGCCACATGGCTTATTTTAAGAACACTATTAATCCCAACTCTGGATCTTTTCAGTAAACAGTAGCAGCTGAGTGATCATTCTGTAGTTGCTAGCCTCTAGGCCTTTGCACAATAGAGCAGTTTTAAAGAGAGTACTTTGCATTTATTATAATCACTGAAACCAGGTCTGCTCAGCTAGTCCCGCACCACTTAGCAATTCACTGATGCACAATAGCATTCTCCTCTCCACTCACCTAACCTCACTCACTATTGCCAAGTGGACAGCAAGAGTAAGGATGCACTCTCTACAACTTCTGCACGTATCTATTGGCAGCATAGTGCAGAGGAGATACTGCACTGGTTAAACTGCTTGTGTCTAAACTTACTCAATCTGCTGGAATTCACTTAACTGAGGGGCCGACCATGCATATCATGTCTCTTTTTATGTGAGAGGTTAAATAAACTAATGTAGAGAAAAATCTGGAATGGTTCATGGCAATAGTGGTAAATATAGGATACGTCAAGGAACCTCAATCCCTGAAGCACACATTGTCAGTAACTTATTAGCAATGGGAGACAGGGTGCCATAGAACAAAGGGCTGGAAAGCATCATTTTTCTGATGTCCCTGGGTATGATTTACTGACTGCTCTTGCCCTGAGTGAGTACTAATTACAAAGATTTTTGTTGCAATACATGGAAAAATCGAGCAATTGTGTTATTATTGCTGTTATTTGTTTTATTGTTACTGCTTCATATGAAGTAACCTATCTGTGAATAGATCTAAAAATTTTATAGCATTTGATGGTAAAGTTGAATTTTCTCTTCTGTCAATTTTACTTGAATAATCTGCTTCATTACATTCAGGGCAAAATACATAGCTGAAAAATAAACTCATGAAGAGAATAAGGGTAATATGCACAGTCTCAAAGCTCTGTCAAATTCTCAACCCCTAGAGTACTGTTGGTGCTAGCCAGGATTTCTTCAAAAACCAAAAGTACTGCTTATGTTCAAACACTTGACATCTTCGGAACTTGCATATAAGGTACACGACATGCAAGAGTCACTTTTACACATAAAGTTTATAATAATGGTTTGGTTCATATTTCTTACAGTGACAAATATTCTTTTTTCATAATCCCTGTGGGAAGACTAAAATCCATCTCCATAGTTTTGCAGTGTCTCTACTGCTGACTTTCTCTGTAAATATTTTAACTGTGCATGTTTGTAATCAGGCATCCACAATTGTTACATCACCAAGTGCCACGTGAAACACTAAAGGGTTTAAATGCACAAAGAAACTGAGTGGGAATCTTGGCCCCTACCTGACTAAAGTGATGACGTTGCCAGTGTTTAATTCTAATTAGATGGGCTCCTCCCATTTAAAATGCCTCTGGTGATTGTTTACAGAGCATTAGTTTAACTGTCTCTGGAAATGAATGTCAGTTCTCAACCAAAAAAATTATCAAAATGTCAGTGTGGCTGGATGTAGTTTCCCTTCTGTACTTCTGGTGAATAAACACTTAAAAATTTAATATGTGTATCTGCATGTAGAGGTATACAAAATGTTTAATTTCTTCCCTTGAGTATTTTGTTCTATTGCTGTCAACTTAGAACAATAAAATTGATAAACCTTTAGTTAAAATGTGTTGCACTGTTAGTGATGAAAGTGTAATGTGCAGTAGTTTTAATAGACAAAAATCTAGCTACTAGCTTCCAATATAAGTAGTAATTTAAATCAGAGTCTTAGAGGAATGTTTTTGCTTCATTCCCTAAGTTTCATTTGTTTTCATAGCTTTATATGCCAGTCTCCTAGCCCTCAGTCAACAATAAGTCAGTTGAAAACAATAACAATACTTAAACCTGTGTTTGTTTTTAGTTTGGTCACTTTTCTGGAATATTTGGAGTGCCTCTCAAGAGGTGTTCCACTCAAATATTACTATTATTTATGATACACACCCAAAGTAACTTATAAAGGGAAAATTTGTGAATACCTTTTAACAATCATGCTTTGCTTTTCCACATACATAAGGGTTTTGTTTCTCTGTTGCATTCAACTTATACATTATGTCTGGAAACTTGGGCATGTCAGTATTTAGTGACACTTAACAGCTATTTTCAGTAAACTGTCTTTTAGAAGTTCAAGCAGTATTCATACATCAAAGTCCTTGTGTTAGGGATGGATGACTTGCTCTGAAACAGTGACACTGAACACTAGTTGGGAGGGTTTTTTACAATAATGGAGTAGGCAGCAGTCATTTAAAATAAAGTCATTTACATGGCTTAAGAGAAAAGGAAGCTAACAGTAACAGCAAGTTAATATTTCTTAGGTGCAAATATACGAAGAAGACTTCAAAAAGGAACGATCAGATCGAGAGAGACTTAATCAAGAGAAAGAGGAGCTACAGCAAATTAATGAAACTTCCCAATCCCAGTTGAACAGGCTGAATTCCCAGGTACAAGTCAAAACAAAATAATCTTTGCCAGCATGTATGCATTTTTTTTTTTCATTTAAAAAATTCAAGACTTTTTGAGTTCTGTTAATTGCCATCGAATTTTTTTGAAAGGTCAGCACCTGGGATGAAGTCATTCTTAAACAATCTTGTAAAGAGATGAAAATGACTGGAAATTTCTTTTAACTTAAGTATATTAAGGAATTGCCCAAGAAATTGGATTCCAAAGTTTTTTTTTATAAAATAGAGTCCTTTTGATCTTTTTCTCATAATATTTATCCTGGTAGAATGAGAGTTGAACTACCTAGTACTCAAATAAAGTGAAGTGGTTTTCAAAATTCTTGTCATTTTCTTTGAAGGGCTATGTTGGAATGCTCCTGTCTGCCAAAAACATACATATTTCTAAATGCCATTTATATGTGAGACTGAGGATTTTGTTCAGTGGTTCCCAGATGTAATGTAACTGGAGTACTTTCAAGGAAGCCAGATAATGGTCACCAGTTTATTAAAATAGAATATATTAAATGTAAGCATACTAAAATTAAGTGTAATTGAATATATTAAAGTAGATTCAGGAAGTTGCCATGATGGGTAAATAGTGATGTTAATGAAGGAAACTGTAGCTAACATAATTTTGCCTTAAAAAATAAAACAAACTGCACCATTTTTGTTTGTAAAATATTGCAATACTTTTAAATAAATAGAAAATTGTTATGGCAATGCTGTGGCAGCTCTTAGTTTCAAGATTCTTAGTCATAAAAAATTTTTAAACAATTATCATTTTCTTCCAAATACAAAGTGGATTGTGAATTAAATTTAATTTTATCTCTGATTTTTTAAAGATTAACTTGAAATTCCTAATTTTACGTGGAAAAAATTGTTTTGCAGAACCATTTTCTCTGTAAGAAATTAGAAAAAATAAAATAGTAGTAAAAAAATCAAATAATTTTATGAAAATAATTCAGGCAACCTAATAATTCATGTAACAATAGATAAGACAATGTTCTCATTACTCTTGGTAAAAAAAAAAAAAAAAAAAAGAGATAATATATATACTTTTTTGGTTTTTGAGATGGTGTTTTGCTCTTGTTGCCCAGGCTGGAGTGCAATGGCGTGATCTCAGCTCACCGCAACTTCCACCTCCCAGGTTCGGGCGATTCTCCTGCCTCAGCCTCCCAAGTAGCTGGGATTACAGGCATGCACCACCACGCCCAGTTAATTTTTTGTATTTTTATTCTTTTAATTTGTTTCTTACATGCCTAGCTAGCCTAATTTCTTTCAAGTTGTCTCTGTACAAACTGTTTTACTTGCTGCCAGTAAAACAGTTTTAGAACAAAAAATAATTTGTTTTTTAAAGCAATTGTAAAATTTGCTGCCAGTACAACAGCAAGTGAAACAATTTTAATTTTAAAACAATTTTTAGTAAATTATTTATTTTTGTATGATAAATTATATATCAATATACAATTATATAATTTTGTTTATTCTACTATATTAAGATTGGTGATAGACTGGCAATGTCCTTGCCATTACAGAACTTTTAGTCTGGTCAGGAACATACATCTATCTACTTAACGTTATATACTATAATCCACAAGTCCTCTCCTGTGTCACCTGTAAACTTGATTGGTATCAACAAAATAAATGTATTTTCTAAATGCAGTATGGCATAATTGTGCCTAGAACCTAAAGGAAAATCTTAATCATATCTAAAGTGATAGCTTAGAGCTATGAAATTTTTTCTTTAAAGTAATGAAAGCCCAATCCTTTTTTAAAAAGTCTCATTTACTCAGTAGGAGAATGATAGAATTCACAGAGACGAAGTAGATGGTTTGATGATGTATGTTAAATGTATTAACAGCAGATTAAATGCTAAGATATTTAAAAAAAAGAACTGACGGCCGGGCGCGGTGGCTCACGCCTGTAATCCCAGCACTTTGGGAGGCCGAGGCGGGCGGATCACGAGGTCAGGATATCGAGACCACCCTGGCGAACATGGCGAAACTCCATCTCTACTAACAATACAAAAAAATTAGCCAGGCGTGGTGGCGGGCGCCTGTAGTCCCAGCTTCTAGGGAGGCTGAGGCAGGAGAATGGCGTGAACCCTGAAGGCAGAGCTTTCAGTGAGCGGAGATCGCGCCACTGCACTCCAGCCTGGGCGACAGAGCGAGACTCCGTCTCAAAAAAAAAAAAAAAAAAAAAAGGAACTGACATTACCTGACATTACCTTAGTTGAATAACATATTATTTGTTGTCCAAGTGGACTTTTAGAGGAATGTTCAGGTCAAACCATTCTGGCATTCTGAGTTGCTTTCTTCCCAGAATGTATTCATTCTGTCACTAAGATGCGTTAAGCCGGTGTCAATGGTAAAATAAGTAATGTGGTAAAGTGAAAGATGCTTAGGGTACTTAGAAATAAGAGAAATTTAGGGCAAAAAAGACTTGGTGTTCCTGCCTGCTCTGATATTCCATTGGTGGTAACCTTGAACAAGTTATTTAACTTTTCTATGCTTCCTTTTCTTCATCTGTACAATGACAAAGTTGAACTCGATCATCTCTAAAATGTTTCTTATTACTCTAAAATCTCTCTCTAAAAAATAAGTTACCTAACCTCTTTTAGTATACCTGCCTGTAAAATATAGATAATGAAACTGACCTTATGACTTCACTAAGTTGTTCTCAATGGTAAGTGAAAAAAGCAAAAAACAGGCCAGGCGCAGTGGCTCACGCTTGTAATCCCAGCACTTTGGGAGGCCAAGGCAGGCAGGTCACTGGAGATCAGGAGTTTGAGACCAGCCTGGCCAACATGGTGAAACTTCATCTCTACTGAAAACACAAAAATTAGCTGGGCATGGTGGTACACGTCTGTAATCCCAGCTACTCACGAGGCTGAGGCAGTATAATCACTTGAACCCAGGAGGCAGAGGTTGCAGTGAGCTGAGATTGGGCCACTGCATTCCAACCTGGGCAGCAGAGTGGGATTCTGTCTCAAAAAGAAAAGAAAAAACCAAAATACCCTGTAGAAAACATTTAGCTCAAGCCAAATCATGGCTCAGAGGTATTTTATAAATTATTTTAGTCTATTAGAAGAGGGGGCATGTTTAATAGTTTCATTTAGTTGTATAATTAGCATGCTACTTTCAGTTCCTTGTAATCTAATTTTGATGCTTTCTTTTTGCAAGTCATTCTGCTATATGCTGTGAGAAAACGAAAACTGGTTCTTGCTAGTAAATAACTCACAATATAGTAAAAGAGACATGTACAGTCTATCCTCATCATCACCAATTCTGCATATGTGAATTTCCCTACTCATTAAAATGCATTTGTCATCCCCAGATCAATACTTGTGGTGCTTTGTGATACATCCTTACATATGAGCAGAGCAGCAAAATTGTTTCCTGACATATACACATTCATAGTGTTCTTTTTGTGGTCCATTTAGTGCCATGTTTGCTGCGTTTTTGTGCTTTTTGTTGGTGATTTCATGGTTTAGAATGGCCCACACATATATGCGGACATGCTCTCTAGGATTCCTAAACACGAAGGATGTGATGTGCCTTACAGAGAAAATGTGTGTTAGAGAAGCTTCATTAAGGCATGTTATAGAACTCTTGACCATGAGTTCAGTGTTAATCAACGAAACATATTAAATAAGTTGTCTTTAATCAGAAACACACATGAAACAAAGTTATGTATTGATTCATTGACACAAATGTTGTGAGAAGAGGCTAGCAGAAACTTAACCCAACAATTCTCCTAGGAGCAGTGGTTCAATATTCACTAATTCAGTGTCCCTGAAGACTTTATGGAATATGACTACCACAAGCAGCAAGAATTGCCTGTAAATAGTACACATAGGTCTAAAAAGTCACACAGTGAATGTACAACACTACATAAGAGGACAGAATAATTCTGATTAGTGGGACTGGAAAGGTATCATTCAGAAGGGGGTATTTGACCATCCCTTATGGGCATGTGGGACACGGAGTATAGGAATGACAATGAAACAGTCAAGGAAAAGCCAGCTTTCTCTAAGTGTGTCTTAAGTTAAGGGAACCCAGGGTAGGTGATTCATCTAGATGAGGCTGGGCCTTAAGTAGTGAGAAGCTGTGGAATATAGCAGTGTGACTTTGAACAAGTTACTCAGAATCTTATGTCTTAGTGTTCTCATCTATAAAATTGAGATAATACTAAGTATCACATAGAGAGATTGGGATAATTCAGTGAGTTATTGCATGTAAAGAATTTAGATCAGTTTCTTACATGGATTAAGTGCATATATAGCTTCTAAAATTTATTATGGAAGCCTTTGAATGTCAATTTGACAATTCCAGTGTCATTCAGTAAGCAATGAGAATTGTTTCTATATCTGTATCTAAATAGATCTACCTAAAACAGAATTGTAATGGCCTCAAAAAACTGGAATAGCAATTTAAAACTATCACATTTTTCAAACTTCAATTGGAAATGTAAAGATAGAATCAATGCATATCTGGAAAAACCAACCGGTGACTGTTTTTGTTGGTATTACTGCTGTCAATGCCTCACACTTGAGTAGGTCAAGAGTGGCTTAGGAACTAATGATTTGAACTTGTCTTGATTAACAAATGCCTTTGTTTTGTCTTTAGATAAAAGCTTGTCAGATGGAGAAAGAAAAACTAGAAAAGCAATTAAAGCAGGTATGTTCTTCTAATTTTCACTCATACATTTATTTCCATGGACAACATTTCTCATTGTCCCAATTAAAGACATATTCAAGCTCTGCTACAACAACCCATGCTTTTCATTACTGACTGCACCATCAATGGATAGACAGTGCTTAGGCACCACCAAGGCCTTTCAACCCTAACACTCATGGAAAGCATATGCTTTATAGAGCATGTTACCAGTAGCACAAACCTTAGTGCTCCTTAGACCCACAAGTGCCTGGGAAATAGATTTCACTGGTATTTCATACAGTTGCTCACACAACTAACAGTGGAAAACTAAATCACATACTGCCTCTTTTGAAAAAATAACATGCCTTCTTGAGCACTGAAGTATTCTATCCCATGGGTTCTCTAGTTGCCTTAAAGACTGAATATTATTTGTCTTAATTCCTAATTTCCTTTCTGGACTTTAGTTTTCCCTGGCTACAATTTAAGAAAACCTATTTCATGACTCAATGGATAGATTTTCTTCATTGAGGGCCCTCAATAAAGATAACTCAAAAACATAAAGTTAACTCTATATACTTTTCAAGTGTGTCTCATTTCCTCAAAATGGAGAAATGATTATAGTTTCACCTTAGGTAAGACTTGACCAGTGAGCCTTATCTGTATCGGTCCTGAGTCTATTGACATGTTTACAGTTTTGAGTTATAATTATGCCAGATTAGGTGGAACCTTAAGATTGAAACCAAACCTTTTGTATAAAGCAATGTCAGTGCGACTCTTCAGTCTCTCCCACTGGTAGTGAACCCACAGCTTTGTTCTCCTCAGATGTATTTCCCAACCTGTAACTGCGGCTTGGTTTTCCACCTGCAAGATCCGTGGCTACCAACAGGCGCTGGAGCTGTGCAGAAGCGACGGGAGCACCCAGTAAGTAAGAATGCATTTGAAAAAGTACTTAGTATACTGTTTTGGTAGAAATTATGTGCATCTCTGGAATTTCAGCACATTATATTATCTACAGTAAGAGCTGCTGTTTTCTCTCAGCCTCAAACTTGCAAAGTTGGAGTGGTCAGTGTACAGTAGAATTATCTTTGGGACACTGAATCCACAGGACACATAGATATGAATACATTAACTGAAAGGTATTAAATTGGGAATAATTCCTTGAACAACATATAACATTTTCAATTGGAATACCTCATTCTACCCAAAGGGTATTTTATGTGTAAAATGTATTTATGTATAAAAGAAAGTGGATATGGCAAAACAAAAAAAAGAGATGCTTTTTTTCAGTTGTAAATTTATATTGAACTACTACGGATATTGCTACATACGTGCAAAATAGTTTTTGACATTTTCCAATTAAAGGATTTTCTTAAAGGATCCAAGAAAAAGTGACCCACTTAAGTTGTTCTCCACGGCTGTGTCTTCCCAGACAAAATGAAATGCAGAGTTGAGCAATTATTTGTGAGGGGAATTGATTTGGACAGTCAACCTGAATAAGTCAGGCCCAAAGCACCCGTTTTTTCCTTCTCAATAGCAGTATTCCACCCACCCTCCTCTACCTTCTATTTTGCCTACATAGATAGAACCTTTATCCAGGAAAAAAAAAAAAAATGTGTTTTTTCTGCATTTTGTATTTACCCAGGCAAATCCTTCCAAACTTTAGGTTTGATTGTGTTTCTCATGATGAAAAAAAATCTAAGATTTTAAACAGGGATTTTCCTACCAGAATGCTTACAGAAAGCATGATTCTCTTGACTTCTTGAAAGTTCTCATACTTTTGTTTGAGTGTGACTCAAAGCCCTTTTCCCAAGGGAGGAGATAATGACTCTTTGGGTGGCAGAAGGATGTGAGGATTTAATGAGCATCTCTTATTTGACCCCGGTATGACACAGCACACTGCTAAGAATTGGTTCTTTTCATGTTATTGCTGGTTGCTAGTTCTGTCTGCTCTCCTTCCCCAATCTCCTTTTTTTTGTTTTCTTTTTTTCGTTTTTCTTTCTTTTTTCTTTTTTTTTGAGACAGAGTCTCGCTCTGTCGCCCAGGCTGGAGTGCAATGGTGCTATCTCAGCTCACTGCAAGCTCCGCCTCCTGGGTTCACGCCATTCTCCTGCCTCAGCCTCCCGAGTAGCTGTGACTACAGGTGCCTGCCACCATGCCCGGCTAATTTTTTTTTGTATTTTTAGTAGAGATGGAGTTTCAACGTGTTAGCTAGGATGGTCTCGATCTCCTGACCTCATGATCCTCCCGCCTCAGCCTCCCAAAATGCTGGGATTACAGGCATGAGCCACTGCGCCCAGCTTCCTTTTTTTTAACTTTATCTGTTTGCTTACTTTTCAGTTTTTACCAATAACATTAAAATTTTTTTTTTTCAAGATTGTAGAAGTCAACTCAGATTGTGAGAAACACAAAGAGAAATTTACTGTAGGAGTGAATTAACCTATAGAAGTTGGCTTCTACAGGTTGGGGGATTATTCTTATGAAATATTCTTATGAAATATTAACTATGAAACCAATCAGTCATTCACTTTTACCTAAGAGTACAAATTATTGTTTCTGTCAAATCTTTATTTGTGGAAAGAAGGAAGGAATTCACCTACTACAGCTAATCAAACATTCCCTGTCAATTAAAAAAGGCAAGGCAGTCCAGGTCACATAAAATTGTCACCAAATAAAGGCCTATATTTGAAAAAGGACTCCAAGCCATGTAGAATAGCCTACACTCTTTTTCTTTTTTCTTTTCTTTTCTTTTTTTTTTTTTTTGAGAAGGGGTCTTACTCTGTCGCCCAGACTGTAGTGCAATGGTGCGCTCTTGACTCACTGCAACCTCCACCTCCTGGGTTCAAGCGATTCTCCTGCCTCAGCCTCCCGAGTAGCTGGGACTACAGGCACACAACACCATACCTGGCTAATTTTTGTAATTTTAGTGGAGATGGGGTTTCTCCATATTAACCAGGCTGGTCTCAAATTCCTGACCTCGTGATCTGCCTGCCTTGGTCTCCCAAAGTGCTGAGATTACAGGCGTGAGCCACTACGCCTGGCCAGAATGGCCTATATTTTCAAGCAGTAGTCTGATGAAAAAAATCTCAGCATAACAGTAGAATTTACAACCAAATCCTCAAAGTTAATTTAAAAATAAGATTTCATGTTTCTTGCCTATATTGAAGGCTGAATTAAGTCACATGCTACAGTGTTGGTAACATGACAGGATATTTACCTTCTTTTGGCAACCCTCCTGGAATATAAAACTGAGGCTCACGTCACTTATCCTATGTGTTATTTGAGACATCTAAAAATAAACGAGAAGATAAAAAACAGAGGTGATCTCATTTCCTCTTCTAGCTTTTTCATAAGCCAGAGGAGCCAAGGGCCTAGGTGTCTAGAGTGGGGGTACAGTGGGGTCAAACTGCACTAAAAGCAGCATTTCTCAGTGTCTTGTTGAGTAATTGAACTTTGTAGGTGACTTTCAGCGGTCTGACAGCCTTGTAAATGCTCTCTGTTGACTCATGTTAGAAAAATTTTCCTCAAGTTATTTTTAGGAGATAATTGAATTACAAAACAAAAAAGTCTATATTCTCTGTGCCTTGTGGAGAAGTAGGAGGCAAGGGTGAGCATTCAGAGCAGAAAGACAGACCTGCTTTGTGGGCAGGTAAAGCTGAGATTGCTCCATTCCTAGGGGTTAAATACAGAGGTCCAGGCCTTGGAGATATCTTGATAATTTGGGCCTATGGATTTACTATTTATTCAATGCAATCTGTTTGGCATTCAATATCTAGCTGTTCTTAACTGGTGTAAACCTAGGAGAAAATCCCAAGAGAAAAATCTTGTCTCTGTAGACTAAACTATATGAGCAATTTAGAAGACAGGTTCTGCTGGATTGGTTCTTCGGAATAGAAAAAAGGGAAAGATTTGCCCTCCTTCACCATCCTGAACTTCTATCAATGCCAAGTCCCCACTTAATAGCTTAGATTTCTTTCCTTAAACCATTAGAAAACTTGTATTAAGCTTTTTTTTCCCCCTGGCCTTCTCATTGCCTCTAGTGTGAGGGTCTCAAAAAGAGTATTTGTTGATGCTAAGTTGCTTTGTTTTATTGATGGGTTGTAGTAAGTTTTACAAGTGTTTATACTTCTGCAGATATTCAAAACACATCTGTTTCAGAGAATAAAAGAAAGAAAACATATCACAACCTCAAAGTAGTAGAAATTCTGGCCAAACACAGAGTGAATTTAAGAGGGGGTAGGGAGAGATGATAGCAGTGATGGGGGATAAGCAGGATGAGTGAGGTTGGCAATAGGTTTGGATAGAAATTACTTTTGTGTTCAATAAAAGCCACATAGCCTAATTGTATTTTTGACATGCCACTATGTTTGGTTTGAAGTCCATATTGCTATAATAATGTTTTATTGTTCCACACAGCCAGACTATCAGTGGTATGCTCTTGACCAGCTTCCGCCAGATGTACAACACAAGGCAAATGGTAAGACCACAGCTGTATTGAGCATTCTTTCATGTTTACATCTTAATGGGATCTTTTTGGGATGTTTACTCAACATACATTCATTTATACTTGGGGAGGACTTCCTATAAAGTTGTGTTACATACATAACTTTAATTTGATGCACCTGGGGTTAAATTGAACTCCTTAAGACACAGAAAATGTGCAAATACAGAAATGCATGAACTTCAATGCTGGCTTCTGTTCCTTTTTCAGTCTCAGAGTCAGAATTCCATCTGGGGTTAGAAATGAAAACTGTAAGCAGAGCTGTATTATAACAACAACAAAGTTCTGCAATTGTACTACAAAGTACAGATGCACACCCACTATTCCAAGTTGAGTTTGCTAGACAGATGTTTTAAATGTCACTGGCAGACAGACAGAGGAAACCAAAGGCTCAGAACTGTGTTCCCTTATGACTAAATGTCAGACTCCAAGGCAGGGTTCTTAGTTTAGGCCAGGGTTGCCCACAACGCCCACCTCAAAGTATGCTGGGAAAAACTAAAAGTCACTTATGAAGTACTCACAACCAAGATTACTTTTTTAAATCTTATTTTTTATTGGTTTAACATTTTCTTTTTTGTTTCTAGAATCTGCTATACTTTCTACTGCTTCTTTCTATGGTCTTGTGAGGCCACCCAGAAGCAGGCTGTATATACTGAGCTATAATCAAAATCCCACTTCTATTCTCATCACGTATACATAATCAAAAGTTAGAAATGTCTGCTGCATGTTTAAAGTCTCATATGACACACACCTGGGACTCTAACTTGTTAATTTCCAAAGATTTGAATCTATCTAAAAATGCTGAAGATGAGCTATATAATCTAATTTCAGGCCATTCTTGAAATTTGATCTCGTTTGAAGTCAGAGCTGAGATCACAGAAATTTAGTTTTTAATACAAGGAGTCTGTTATGGAGTGTAAATAGGAAGCCAGGGATACCACATGTAGTTTTGCAGGTTGTGAACTTTACAAGTCTAAGGGGCACATAATGGTAGTCTATGTGAATGGAGCCTGCTGACGTACAATATGCAATCTGGACAGCTGTACACAGCAGCAATGGGTGTGGCAAAGACCATAGATTATAACAGCATCATATAAAAGAAATATGAAATGTGAGAACTCCATAATAAAATGTCCAGGTATTTATCAAAACTCTATAGGACTCTCTTTTTTCTTTGCTTTCTACTACAAATATAGCCAGAGGTTTTAATGAAGTTCTTGAGTTCCAACAATAATGGAGTTCTTTTATTAGAAAGGCATACCATTAACCAGAATGAGTGTTGCATAATATATGCAATTTTAAAATCTATTATTGTATAATTGCAGAATTGCTACCCAATTATAATTTTCCATTTTATATTGCTCTGGAATGACTATTAAATATATTTTCTTTCTGAATTGGAGTTTAATCACTAGAAAATACAATTACCTAGTACAGAACTTAGTAATACCATAAGGTCATTTATATATCATTATTGAATTCTCCCTGGACCAATATTACACAAGCTAGTGATTACATAAAATAGAAATGAATTGTGATGACATTCAGAAACTAAATAGAATACGCAGTAATGAAACGTTGTAGTCAGTGTATGAGACTACATACTGATTTTTGTCTAGCTAGGAAAAATGTAGTGAGCTTTGTGATGTATAAACATACCATGTAACAGCGTCTACAGATGTAAAACTACAACAAAAAAATCTCTATGATGTACCAACCTAAGCTTTGTTTCTGTTTTTTTTTTTTTTTTCTGAGACAGTCTCACTCTGTCACCCAGGCTGGAGTAGTGCAGTGGTATGATCATAACTTACTGTACGTTTGAACCCCTGGGCTCAAGAAATCATCCCACCTCAGTCTCATGAATAGCTAGGGCTACAGGCATGAACCACCATACCCAGCTAATTTTTATTTTTATTTTTTGTTCAGAGGGAGTCTTGCTCCATCTCCAGCCTATTGCCCAGGCTGATCTCGAACTCCTGGCCTCAATTGATCCTCCTGCCTCGGGCTCCCAAACTGCTGAAATTTCAGGTGTAAGCCACCACACCCGGCCTGTTTTTAAAGAGTTGTTTATTTCAGTCTTCACAACAATGCTATAAAATAGGTTTTGTTTTGCACTATTTAACACATGGGGAAACCGAGGCTTAGAGAATTTACGTAACACCTAAATCACACAGTTCATAAAATTTCACACAGGGATTAGATTATTTGATATATAGGATTCTAAAACCTATGGTTTGAATTATATAGTACAGTGCCCCTCTTACTGTACCCCTCTCACTTTATTACAATTTTCTAAAATTATAGGTACAAAAATGAGAATGGGTCTCTAACACAGATAATAATATGACTAGCGTTTAATCCTCAATAATCTCATCTTCGTATGAACTCACAGCATGCTACTCATTTGACATTTAGAATATCACAAGTAAAAGACACAGTACTATGTAAGATTAAGTGTGTAATAAATATGTTATGAACTAACTTGTGCATGGACAGCTCTGGTGGAACCTGACCAGGGGTATGTTATCATTTGAAACTCATCCTTCTCCATACCAACACAACTCTGCAACTAACTATGGCTGGCCAGCAGCAGGCAAGAGGGCTGATCGTAGTTAGGGCACCACCAAAAAATTCCTTACTTCAAAATCTACCTGTTTGGGATTCCTATGCCTCCTTTACTAGCTTCCACATTTGATGTATTTCATAGCTCAAACCATGTCACAAGAATTGGCAAGAACTCTGAAATCACTCTTGTCACAAATGACGGATGTGTCATAATTTAATTTCAGTAGTGGTTTTTGCTGGTTTGGGGTTCATTTAATTAAAAAGGTCCTTTTAATCTGTTGGTGTAACTGAATTGTTCAGAATTTTCATAAAATAAGTTTGTGGTATTGATTATTAAGAAATCACTGGTTTAAGGCCAGGCGTGGTGGCTCATGCCTATAATCCCAACGCTTTGGGAGACCAACGCGGGTGGATTGCTTGAGCCTAGGAGTTCAAGCCCAGCCTGGGCAACACGGTGAAACGCCGTCTCTACAAAAAAATACAAAAATTAGCCAGGTGTAGTGTCATGTGCCTGTAGTCCCAGCTATTTGGGAGACTAAAGTAGGAGGATCACATGAGCCCAGGAGGCCAAGGTTGCAGTGAGGTGAGATCACACCACTGTGCTCAAGCCTGGGTGACAGAGAATGACTCTATCTCAAAAAAATAAAATAAAAATGGCCGGGCGCGGTGGCTCAAGCCTGTAATCCCAGCACTTTGGGAGGCCGAGACGGGCGGATCACAAGGTCAGGAGATCGAGACCATCCTGGCTAACACGGTGAAACCCCGTCTCTACTAAAAAAATACAAAAAACTAGCCGGGCGTGGTGGCGGCGCCTGTAGTCCCAGCTACTCGGGAGGCTGAGGCAGGAGAATGGCGTAAACCCGGGAGGCGGAGCTTGCAGTGAGCTGAGATCCGGCCACTGCACTCCAGCCTGGGCGACAGAGCCAGACTCCGTCTCAAAAAAAAAAAAAAAAAAAAAAAAAAAAAAAAAAAAAAAAAAAAAAAATAAAATAAAATAAAATAAAATAAAATAAAATAAAAATAAAAATAAAAATAAACTTCATGCATTTTAAAAGGTATGGCAGGTAATGAGTGATTTAATTTCAATGATACCACTAAATCTTCCTCTAACATTTCTGGGGCCTGGAGCAAGAATAAGTGGAAAGCTACATTTTATATGTGTAAATCTCATGAATCAAGCATAGAAACTGTTAAAGTATAATCTATCCTCCTACCTTGATAAACATACATGTAAAACCAAAGTACAATTTACAATGCGCAGATTCAAAACCAGTCTGTGACAGGACAAGGTGGCACAGGGAGACCTAAGCCCTGACCTCCTGCCTGGGACCCTCCACCTTCTCTCCCCACCCTCCCATCATAAGGACTCTTGAGCGCACACTTGAAGACAGCCCAGTTGGGACATCCCAACCTTGTCTATATACCCCTCACCACTCTACAAACAGCACTCTTTCGACAACCTTCAGGCTGGGAAGGGGACCACATGAGTCTGGGAAGCAGGTCCAGAATCACTTGGGCAGGGACTTCAGGGGTGTACATTTGGGTGCCAGGAACTTGTTCTGGAGGAAGGGTCGCTCACACTGTGAGGAAGGGTGTGGCTGGAGGAGGGCCAGAGCAGAGTCCTCTATAATGTGGGGACCCCAGTGAAGGGCTTCCTGACTAGGGACTGAGGGTGGTAGGTGGTGAGTACCATGGCGCACAGTCTGCCAGTTAACTAATTTCCAGCTTTGCTCTCAGTTACTGTCTGTGGTTATTTTAGAATGCTTTGGAAACACATTGAAAAATCAACCCTTCTTTCAAAAACTGAATATTTTAAATGAAAGGTTTCGAATGTTTTCAAGTGATTTGAGACTTGGCTTTCTCTCGGTATAGCATTAAATAATGGTGTTTTTAATACATTGAAGTCCACAGATATTAATGGGTTACAGTTTTTGTTTAGAAATGTGATTTTACAAAGAACATTTTCATCTTGTTTCATCTGTTATCAGAATGAGATGCAAAATGACTTCCATGTTTATAGAACAATTATGTCATAACAGAGTTAGTATAACCTTAAAAAACATGTTGTTTTTTCTTCCTTTCTGAAATGTCAAAAAGCTATGGTTTCTGATTGCGCTGCATGCCAGTCACTTCTGTATATTCCAAATTTTTCATAGGTTACAGAGTTATGCTTTGTCTAATGAGCCAGAGCTGGATTATTAATGTATCTAGAAAGGCATAAAATGTAGGGATATGAAACTGTGTTGTGAAATTATTTCTTTACAATATAGAAGATCAAAGCCTAAATATTATAATTAGCTTTTACTAATGTCTATTAATAACCAACTAAACAAATACTGACTGGATTTGTCTCCTAGGATGGCCATAACAAAATACCACAAACTGGGTGGCTTAAAATAGAAAAACTTTTTTTTTTCCCCAGCTCTGGAGGTTAGATATCCAAAAATCAAGATGTTGGCAGGGTCAAGCGCCCTCCAAATCCTCTAGGGGAGGAGACTTCCTTGCCTCTTTCAGCTTCTAGTACTCCAGGTATTCCTTAGCTAGTGGCAGCATCACTGCAATCTCTGCCTCGGTCTTCACATGGCCATCTTCCTTCTGTGTCCAGATATTCCTCTTCTTACATGTACACCAGTCATAGTGGATTGAGGCCTTCCTCCCACCCTCACTGTACATTTAGGGAAATTCTGCCTTCCCTTCAGGAAACTAAAGATCTATCTTTGTTTTTTGTTCAGATTTCCATTCTGTCATGGATTATCTCATGGGCCACAGCCTCTTTCCAACTAAAATATGAGGCTATTGATCTTTAATTCTATACCTGTTTCCAAAGAGCACTGTCCAAATTAAAGAGGAGTTAATTTTAAAATATTTAAGATACCAAGGGAGAGGTATCATTAGTGGATTAAATATTAACTTTAGATTGGTTAGATCAATGAATTTATGCTTCTGGGTTCAAATTTATGTTCTCAACATATTAGATACCTTTTTAACATAATGACCACAGTCCTCAGCAACATAATTTTTCAGCCCAGAAAAGTAACTTATTATCTTCCTATTTGCTTTATTTTTTCTTACCAAAATGTTAGTTTAGCATGTCTTTGGTATACCAAATGAGGGTAACAAGTACAAAACATTCAGCATGTTTTTAAGTTATCATGGATAAGGATAACACTTTGTTTCTTGGCATTTCTATGATTTTTTTTCCCCTGTTGCCATGAGTAAACTTATTTGACTTTGTCTTTCATGTAGTATTAATTATCAAATAGTATTCAATCAAAATATTCCAGATTTTTCGTATTGGTCTTCATGATACACCAACAAATCTTTCTATATGATATTTTCTATAGCTTTGGCAGTAAGGTACCCAGTACCATATCTTAAAACATAATATTTTGCAAGTTTTCTTTCTCTGGGGTAAGTACTGAAACTAACCTAAGTCATATATATGACTTACTTTCACATGCCCAAGCCAAAATGCCAGAAAGAGTGAGAATTAGTGTAGAACATTGCTCTTCAGGCATAATTAGAACGAGGCCACAACTGATTTCACAAAATGGTAAGCATATGTCAATGCTTAAAATAATAACCCTCCATTTCCCGCTTCTTGATTTCTCAGTGTAAACTTGTGGGGAGCTCATGAATATAACATAACTCTTTTTTTTTTTTTTTTTTGCCATCCTGGAACTTTATGTCAGCCTTAAGCCAGAAGAAGGAAATGAAATGTTAATTTTTAATCTAAAACATTTTCCTACTGTTTTCCATAGGTTTCTCCTCAGAAAAGAAAGTCAATCAGTAGAAGTACACACTAACAGAGAGGGACAACAGGCAACGGGGGACCGTGGCTGAGGACCCTCTTCTTTGTTTATACAGAGGCTTGTTTATGCCACAAAGGCACATCATCTACCCTGTTATTTGTGCCTGGTCATGTTTCCCTTTGGCCTGAATACAGGAAAAGGCTTCTGACAGCTGAGATCCTGATCAAATAGGAGTCGTCCATTATTATACAACCAAATACAACTTCCGGTTTCCTTGAAATGAGACTTGGCAGATAGATGATGCACGACTCCCTGAAAATCTCTTCAGCATATTGCTGTTTGATGCACAAAAAGGATTCTATGATTTAAGCAGCTCAATGTTTGGTGCAGGGATATTGTATGTTGATTTAAAGTGCATATATAGGTGTGTGTGTGTGTTTCCTGGGGTAAAAATTTCTGCAGTTGTAAATTTTTAACATTGCTCCCAGTCTTTTTCCACAGGGCCTTAGTTCTTTAGCCATTTGACCAGATATCGTTGACCTCAGTGAACCTAAACATAGAATGGAATAGGTGTATAAATCTCGTTAAATTAAATAAGTGGTTCAATCTGAATAAAATCGTAAATTGGAAGCTATTCCTTAAACAGATCATTTCTTTAAGATGATGAGAAATTGTGAGCCTGCTTCACAAGAATTGATTATGAAAGATGAAGTCTTGGGCTGGGTGCAGTGGCTCATGCCTATAATCCCAGCACTTTGGGAGGCCAAGGTGGGCGGATTGCTTGAGGCCAGGAGTTCTAGACCAGCCTGGCCAACACGGTGAAACCCCATCTCTACTATAAACACAAAAATTAGCCAGGCTCGTGGCACATACCTATAAATCCAGCTACTTGGGTGGCTTGAGGCGGAAGGATCACTTGAGCCAAGGGAGGCGGAGGTTGCGGTAAGCAGAGATCGCCACTGCACTCCAGCCTGGGAAACAGAGTGAGCAAGACTCAGTCCCCTCTACCCACCCACTCTACACCACCAAAACAAAAAAACAAAAAAACAAAAAAAACAAAAAATTGAATGTATTGAAATTTTATTGCAATTAAATCTTATAACATGATAGATGTCTAAAGACTAAGCAGATTTAGAAGTATTAGGTTTATCCATTTAATAAGAATTCTGCTAGGACTAACTTGAGATCTTCTTTGTGATCCTCTATATACATATATACATATATATGTGTGTGTGTATATATATATTCTCACAAATAGGATCTCAAATTATACATTTATTATAATTATATATTTATATATGTATATACATATATACACATATAACAAGAAATGTGAGATCCTTGGATATCTGTGCTTTTAGAAGTAAACCTAAAGCAACAGCAAAGCTGAAAATGCAGTTGAAGAAAAGAATCCAAACATACTGCCGAAATTATCCATTTCAGCTTCCAAAAATTATGCTACTTTATTCTAGCTCAAATTATTATTATTCCAGTATCTGGATACACTTGAAGCTCTGTGTAATGGGAAGATGAAAGAGCCTTAGGAAAATAAATATTTTCAGGTTCAGCCCTTTGCAGCCCTGGAACACAATTCTTGAGAAAGAATTATCCTTGTCTTACATTAATTTTCTGAAGCTTGTTTCTGCTATTTATCAAAGAGACAAATTGTTCTTGGATATTACCTCAGTATAAGTATAAGCGTAAGTCAGCTGCTGACTTGTTAACTGTTGTTTTCCTGATTGACTTATACTGAAGTAATACCCAGGAATTGAAACATTTTGGCATATTTCTAAATTTCCATTTCTTCAGATTAGTGAAAAAGTCATTGTAATGTCAATTTCTTGTGGGTGGATTAAATTTGCCAACTGAGGTATGCCCACCGGAATAAAAACTGAACGAACACCCAAGAAAGTATTCCTTGAGAGGCCAGGACCAGGCCTATTCAGCAGCAGGAAAATGTGATTTAACTCTCCAGTCCAAAGTCATCCTCTTACTAATTAACAAGTTGCCAAATGTTGGCAAGATTGTGGAAATGCTAATGTAATGGGAGAAAATCCAATTTAAGTGAGACCTAATTTAATTTGAACTCCAGTGGGGGACTACAAATGTGGAAAGAGGACCCCTTGCTCAGGGCAACTGCCATTCCCAAAAGACGGATTTCACAACCCTGTCCTGAGAGTGAGCCAGCCTCTCCTGTGTCCCTCTACCCACACCATTTGTTTGGGGACTTTTCTGCCTCAACTCATTATAAGAGTTATACCCTGAGCTGTGACTCTTACTTCATTATTATTAATACACAACTTGTGGAAACTGTGTGAAGAATAGTTATGTCCCTTTGAAAGGAGGGGAAGTCACATGATCTGTTCTTAGGAAATGTAAATCTAAGCGTACATTAGGTTGTTGGTAATCATGAAGATTTTGATCTTTAATTGAAGGTCTAACATGAAGAGAAAGATGTCTTTACTTTGTCTTGGTTGTGATATGGTGAGGTGAAAACCTTCCTTCAGGGTCTGGTTTGGACTGGGAGTTAGGCCAGCCTCTACTTCTCTTTGCTGTTTTGTTTTGGTCTCCACTTTTCTTACCAACAAAAAGAACATTTTGGACCATATTGCTAGTATTATTGACCATGAACTAACTTGTAGATGATCTCCCTTAGTTTTTTTACTGAGCTTTCTCAACCAGCAGGAGAGGTATAAACACCGCCTTGTTACAGATGATTAATCAAGAAAACAGAGAGATTCAGTAATTTCCCTACGTTCTTATGGCAAGTAAATGGTAGAGCCAAGATTCAAAACCGTCTTGAACCTGGGAGTACCCAGTTTCTGGCGTGCTACAATTCTGCTTTGTAGATTACCTTGGCAAGCTCAACTTATTTTTATGATTCTTTTGGGTTACCGTCAAGTAGCATTACAGGAGCACACTTCTTAGGAGAAAATATTTTTATTAAAAATACTATAAATTGAACAGGATTTGTAAGTTGCCTCCTGAATTAAGAGAAGTATTATCTCATTTAGGCTACTATGCAGGAAAATAAAAATGTATACTAATGTGAAAGTGCACTAAAATAATGCAAGCATGGGCATAAATGGTGCCTTCCCGTGTCAACACTTTTAATGTGGCTAAGTTGCTAATAGAATCAAATCTAATAGAATCAAATCTAAAAGACATATGACCTCCCAAATTTTAAATCAGCTTAACAATTACTATTTAAATACTTACTTATTTCTAAAAAGGTCTAGGCAGCCCACATCTCATACTGCCTCTGTCTCTATGCGCTATGCTTGGTTGAATCCACATTGAGAGCGGAGGACAGAGTTGTTTACCAAACATTATTCCCCTAACTTGAAGGTCCCTTTGCTCTTTTTTTATTTCTGCTATTTTTCTTCCCATCTCCCTGGGGAATCCTAACAAGATTACATACTAGAGAGAGAAAATCCATTGCATTGCTATTGCGGCCACACTATGATCCTTCTATCTCTGGCTCCAATTTGCTCAAGTCCCAATGACGCAGCTCAAAAGAAGAAAATATTTGCCGTAATGTCTACTTTTCAATCATTTTAGAAATAATTTCTTTTGCCTAATTTCTTTCCTATGTATCTACCTCTTTACTTTCATCGATCTTTTGCTCCAAGACAGAAAGGTGTTATGGGGAACAGTTATGCTCACTATCTTTGCGATTCCATAGAAAAGAAAAGGAAGCTGTCAGCACACACACACATACCCCTACACACTCCACAAATTCATACACACCACAGACACAAACCACACTCACCACACATGCTCACACACCCCACATATACACATCAGGCACATACTCTTCCTCTGCCTCCCCAGTCTTGAAGGCAATGCTACAGGTTCCTGGGTTCTCCATTTGTGACTGGGGAAATTGATTACGATTGAAAAAATTGCATAATAAAGCTAATCTTTTCTCATTTTGTCTCAAATCCTTGTGTGTATAATGTATTGCCAAGAATACTGACTAACTCCATGCTAAGATTCCTCCAGGAAGTAATAATGTTGAGATCTAGAACCAATTAATTTGGCCAGTTATTGCTAAGTAATATGAGGGAACTTTTAATGTTTGGGGGTGCGTGTGTGTGAATCTCAGTGCTTTGTGTACTGCACTCAGAAGCTAAAATAATTTCTGTCTGCCCTCCTTCCACTTTATTCCATACCAGTATCAGAAGGAAGAGTACAATGAATGAGACTGCTGACATATTTTGGTAAACCAAATCCAACCCTTGGGGCTTCCTAATGTACTTAACTTGTTAGTTGGGATTAATTTTCTGGAAGATTCCATCTTATTAACTGCTGTTCCTGAGTCTGCTCTTTGCTGGGTACTAGTATGCTTCGATGAAATTGAGACTCCATTTCCACATTTGTAGAGAAGCCTCTTGGCCATGGGATAATGACCCACATCCGTCCACCACAGCCACACACAGAGCTGGCAAGAATGCAGCTCCTCACTCACAGCTGCCTCTGCAGACAGGGGGGCGGGTGGGGCTGAAGCAGAAGAAAAACGGAGAAATGAATCAAAAGAAGAAAACCTTTTCCTTAATACTTCCCTGCAAACCTGGTTCGTCGAGCATTTAAAGGAAGACAACACTGAGCTGGCACATGCAGCATCTCACAGGAACAATCAGGCTTGACAACAAGAACGGGGGAGTGAGAATCATTAATGCAGCACCCTGATCCTGACGTATTCATAGTTGGAGAGGATTTAGGAGGCATCAGTGCTGGCTACACTGCTTGGTGGGATGCCTCTTGCATGTTTGCCACCCTCGTGGCTCCGTCCTGGCCCTGGGAAGGGAGACTGAGAAACAACGTGTGAGATCTCAGGTTCTTGCCTAAGCCGAGATATTTTGCACTTATCTCTAGGGGTTCCAAAAATTGGGCAAGATGTGGCACGTAAAGAAAGAGGATGGAGTCTTTTCCTCCTCTGATGCTGTTTAAACCATGTAAGTTCTTTTCCTCTGTTCTTGGAAAGAAGGACCTAATGTCTTCTCACTTCCTGACCTCTCCTGAATTCTTTAGACCAAAACAGCGTGTCTTTCCCTTTGACTTTTATTTCTTTGTTCATACTGTCCTCATATTCCTTTCAGATAGCTGAAGGTTCAAAAAGGCAAAAGGATGTTAGAATAGATGTAGACAGTATAATCTCAAAATTCTCTCAGGAGATGTGGTAACTTATTTGCGATCTCCAGATTCCCATTCCTCAATCCAGACCTCTCATGATTCCTAATAGAGACTCAGTGTCCCAAATGGAATTTTCCTTCTAAACCTACCCGCTCTGTTGTTTATTCACTCTTCTCATGTATACAACTACCATTTATCTATTCCTGCAAACCAGAAACCTATGAGAGAGCAGCCCCTCCACCCTCTCTGCCAGAGGGTGCCCATTCTGGCTTCCACATCTC